CAACGCAGCGGGCGAGCCTTCACCCAATTTGGGTGTTCACCTCATCGGATTTCCCCATTTTATCCACTATTTTTTTTTATTAAACAAAAAAAATAAAAACACATTTCAATCGGGACCACAGAATATCGTTCACTTTAACCGATTGTTCAAATAAAGCGAGTTCACTTTAGGCGGACTCTTTTGTATTTGGTTGGGGGAGGGGAGAGGGGGAGAGGGGGAAAAGAGAGAAAGTGAAAAATGAAAATAGAAGAAAGTAAAAGAGAGAGAGAGTAAGAAAGAGAGAGAGAGAGAGAGAGAGAGAGAGAGAGAGAGAGAGAGAGAGAGAGAGAGAGAGAGAGAGAGAGAGAGAGAGAGAGTTCGATTCCCGTGTGGGGCCAATCCGTACCGAGTATCTCTGTCTTTCCGCCGAGATGTTGCGTCTCTCTCAGCCAGTGTTGGATCTGACAAGCAGGATCAAATCACACCTTCTAAATTATGATCTTCCAAATTTTGTTGATGATCGCCTGAAAAAAACTACATTTATTGAAAAAAAAAAAATGATTATTTTCAGGTTAGGTTTCGACATTCAAAATCTTACATATGTGAGGCAGCGTGGTGAAATCAGGCCCTCGTTAAGAGAGTGAAATCAAAGGAACCGGCATTTTTCTTGGCGTTGGGCAACTTTTTTCGGATTTCCTTTTTATTTTGCGTGAACAGCTGTTATGTTTATTTCAAAACATATTTCTGGAGGAGTGTTATCGAAAAACGTTCGTTAAGGACACAAAAAATGAAAATTTCCAATTTTCAAGGACTCTAGCTTCAGAAGTCACAGATCTTTGTCAGCCATTTTCTCGCTAATTTTACCTTTCATATTAAGTCGTCCAACAACTCTTTCAATCGCAAACATAAAAAAAAAATTCGACTTCTATTCAAGATATCTGGGTGTTTCTTTCTCAAGATGCAAGACAAATGAACAAGCTTTAAGATGATTTTAAAAACCCTATCTTATGCCCAAAAATGTACGAGCGCCTGATTCCACCGCGCCGTGACACATTTCGTTACGTGTAGTTTCTTGCGACTAAACGCCTGACAAATCGGTGGCCTCAGTCCACAACCACCACCTGTGCACGTCAGGGAAAAACAACAACAATTCTCCAGCTCTCCTCAGCTCACTCTCAGTGACATGCTTCGAACAGTCTTCAACCACCCGTGGAACGATCAATCATTGGCGCTTTTTAGGAAGACAATACCCTGAACTCTTTCTCTGTGTTTTGTGGGTAGATTAACCAAGCAAGCAGCATGAGAAGTCTGAGATTGGGCGGTGCAGTTTACAAAGCCAACAGTCATAGGTCTGGTGTGGGAGATTTACTGTGGCGGGACTTTGGCGGGTGTGAGTGACAGAGTCAGCTGTTTGGGGCTTGTGAGTGCTCTTTTCGCTGCAAGGGTATCGAGTACTGATCCTCTTTAAAAGAACCAAAAGAATACTGGTAATACTTGAATCTAGACAATGACATTAGACCCTCCCCCCACCAAAAAAAGACAAACAAAAGAAAAACTAAACAAAAACGAATAAACGAACAAAACAAAACAAAACAAAAACAAAAGAGAAAAAAGGGGAAAAAAGAGGAAAAAGGGGAAAAAAGAGGAAAAAGGGGAAAAAAGAGGAAAAAGGGGAAAAAAGAGGAAAAAGGGG